CGGAACAATCCCAGAATACTATTCGTATCTCGCTGGGTCGGAATAATCCTGGAATACTATTCGCATCTCTCTGAGTCGGAACAATCCCGGAATACTATTCGCATTTCTCTGGGTCGGAACAATCCCGGGAATACTACGCGTATCTCTCTGGGTCGGAACAATCCCGGAATACTATCCGTACTTCTCTGGGTCGGAATAATCCCGGAATACTATTCGTATCTCTCTGGAGCCAACTCAAAAGCGTGCCGTGTCGCCAGGAGTCGGAGGTGGCTTCAACCTCATGCGCTTAGAATCGATCTCAATTGGTTCCGCTGTGGCCAGACGAAACATTCCTTCGTCCGTTTTGCGTTAAATTTAGTTAAATTTGTGTACAAATTTGCGTTGCGTTAAAATTTAAATGGTCCGTTAATCCTTTACAGGACTGAGCGAGTGTTGTATGACAGAGTCTACCCAAAACTGGATCCGAACGCTCCGCTCCACGCAGCGTCATGTACCGGGGCGCTCCAGCACCGGCCAGCGGCCCGATCTCTCAGCAGCTCGTGTTTGGGTCCACGAACAGCTGCTGAGCCCGCCTGCTGCATCGACCCCTGGCTCAGACCGCTGCACCGCCGCCGCGAGGGCCCCGGCGGCCCACGCGGGGCCGCGCCGTCTGACGGCCGTGCACGCGGCCGCCGCGTGATGGTCCTACTCGGCAGGTGCCGGTCCGGCCTGGGCGCCCGAGCGCCGCTCCCGTGACGCGCCGGCCACACGGTTGGACCGGTCCCGGCGGCGGCACGGACCCGTGACCGCCGGCGGACCGGTCCCGACGGTGGCACGGATCCGTGACCGTCGACGGACCGGTCCACTGAGTAGACTGCCGGCAGGCGCAGCGGGGTGTCAAGCGGCAGGCGTGGCGAGGATCCTACGCACGCAAGCGACCGGTTTTGGAAGGGGTCCAGGGTGAATGACATGCCGACCTTGGGGCATTTCTTATCAAATTACCTCGGCATACTTACGCACGTTTTCAACCACGTTCATCAACGCTTGGTGGTGCGGCGAAGCCTGATTACCAGCGCTACTTTACGCATATCCCTTTTTATTATCCCTTTTTATTGAGTGGCACGCGCGGTCGTGTTTGATAACCTGACCACTGCTGCTCTGCGCCTGCCTAATGGCCTGCGCCGCCTTCCTGCCTAACAGTCGCGTCCACCGGCAGCGGCAGCCAGCGCACCGCGGCATCTCTCGGCTGCTGTGCCGGGTCGGCAGCTGTGCCATGCACACGAGGCGTGTGTAGATCTGACCCGAAGCGCCGACTGATCCCAGTTCGACACCGTAGTACCCTGCACAACGGGGGCAGCCAAAACAAACCAGAGCACGTGCGTCACTGGGCGCACATGCATCGACTAGCCATACTGCGTCACACTTACAACACCACACGCGACACCTGTTTACGCGGCACCGGCCGCACTGATTGCTCGATGCAACATGCAGCTGACGGAGCAGCTCGCCAAATGCATAATTCACCCGTCGTATCAGATACCAGCACAGCGCCGTGAGGTGCGCTGAAGCAGAGCGGGTAAGGACGTGCCATCTCAATCTGCCATGCCATCTGCCGTCGACCAAACCTACGCAGCACCGTCCCCCCCCTTCCCTCCCCCCCCCCCCTTAGCCGCTCCTGGGAAGATGCTGAAGGCTTTGCGTACTGCGCAGTATCCGGACAGCGGAAGGTTTTCATGAGAATTGCTTAAAGGTTGCCAGCGGCACATCGCTTCCAAACGGGTGGGTGCTTGTCGAAGAGAGAGAGAGGGCTGGAGAGCACGAGCAGGAGCGGAACATGAGCGGGAGGGGGAGCGAGAGCGAGAGCGAGAGAGGGCGGGGGGCGGGAGGGAGAGGAAGTGAGGGAGAGAGGGAGGAAGAGAGAGCGGGAAAGTCGACAAGTTCATTGCATCGATGGGTAGCTTTAATTCCTATCTGTCTTCGCTTGCATGTTTCTAGCACGGAGGTACACGGCGCAGATTGTAGACACACTAATCGAACATCTTCACAAAAGCGTGCGCATAACCTACGCAACTGACGTGGCCTTTAAACCCGAGAAGGTCATGAACAGTTATGTCTAGATCTCCCGTATTTTTCTCTAGCGCCCGTGAACCGTGAGCTTCATTGCGTTATATTACGATCCTTGCTTACATGCATCCAACACTGCAGAATGTTGCATCAATGTCAATTTCATCCGTCAGCGAGGGAAGGCGCATTTTGTACCGCTTGCCAAGCAATCAGTACTTTGTTTACTCAGTCACCACGTTTCTGCACCACCAGCCGCCTTGAGTCGCTAAGGTGAAGGTTCACATTTTCCACCGTTCTTAAACACGCAAGTCTCACACAAAGCCCGCAGCGCTCGTCACTGGCTGGTTAAACAGAGTGCAAGGCCTTGCAGCATGCCCCGTCACCACATATATACTGAATACGGGCGATACTTCGTGCAGTGACGCACCAGTAACAGGATGTCTGTGAGTACTTGCGTGCGGCCTTTCGCCTCCTCCCCTAAAAAAACGGCGCAAAATGACCTCGACTGTCAGCGCAACCTTAAAGGGAGCGTGCCAATTTATTCGCGCTTTTCGCACATTGTTAGACCAGGCACGTCCAAATTGATGGGTACTATCATTTTGCTCGAAATCGTTTTAAATAGCTCAGAACTTTGATTTCAAGTAGCAGCCCATACGGAAACGTTATACTACGGCTTTGATTTCTCTCCTATGGAATCGAGCACGATGGCTCTTTTCGAAACGCAATTTGGCGTTGGAAAACAGAGATCAGAACAGAGAAAAAAAAATCACATGGTTTATAGTGACGCACTGGTTCAAACTTCAACCAATGCGCCTCTTGGTAACTGGCCCTTGCCGCCTGCTGTGCCAATCACAAACGTCTATTCGAACTGACGTCATTCATGTCGGTAGATGTGCCCCCGTAAGCCCGCAGACTCGCAATGTGCGGGTTAAAACATCTCAAATGTGGTCACACTCCGCCGTCGTCATGACGACCGCGGTCGCGACAACTGCAGTTTCGCGGACTCGGGGTATACTCTGAGGTTACCAAGAAAGGAAGAAGTGCAGTGCTGTTACAAAGTGTTGACAGCGCAATTGGAACTCGAACTTTTATCAGACATATTTGGTCCCGAGGTTTCACCAGAGTATGCTTTTGAAATATGTCGCAAAAGTGGGCCACTCTCTTTAAGCCAAAATGAACATTCCCTGTGAGCGGCAACAGCATAATTAACGCACCCCCTCACTTCCCAGCTTGCGCTTAAGTGACAAAACTGCTTCTCCGCTAGAAACAGCCCACACAGACGGCAAACACGTGACCTGACCTTCATTGACACGACCTGGTGTCAATCATATGTTTTGTAAACAAACCGGGTAGGACAAGCAATGACGTGCTGCGCTCAACTTTCGTTTTCTGTTATTGCCCTACGGCACGCCAGGTGCAAAATCGGTAGGGGTTCGCAACCGTCATAGAAAGGTGCGCTGCGCTGCGGAAAGGGTGTTTTCCCACGTTGTGGAAGGTGGCCAACTTCCCCAGCGGACGAAGGTCAGGGGTGCTTTGTAACCATTATCAAATGAAACCATATTTTGACATGATTTTAGAAGAGGTCGGGGCGTCTTAAATACTAGCGGCAATCACCATACGCAGCATGATCTTATTGGCCATTGATATGCAGAACTGGCGCTGGCCGACGCCACCATAGTCATCATACAGTCACAATAATTTTTATTGTTTTAGCCTCGACGTGGGCGCAATCGTCTGTATTTTTGGGCGCAAATAACCAAATTAAATCATGTCCAATATTATGAATGTATGCAATGATCATTTTGTCAATAAAATAATTCGCTCGGTTCGATCGATCGGCAAGAACACCGGCCTTCTAACCTATCCGCGATGGGGTGGGTGGTTTCGCGTTACTTAAACGTTCGCCATTTTGCCCTGGATGGGACGGCCTGCGGGTGCTGACAGAGGCTGTTCAAGGTCACGTGAGGTCAGAGGACAGGGCGGACCATACCGAGCATTGCGCAAGCTGAACTTTCGCCACAAAATTCTGCCCTTCAACTGGGATTACACGATCGGATCGGGTAAGGATTCAAACAAGCACCGCTTAGCGCGAACTTTGACCCCAGAAACCCATCCCATCAAAATGTTGGTGTTGGGTGACTGAAAGCCCACCCCTTCCATCCACACAAGAGCGCCTGTTCCCTTGAAAGGTGCCCCGTGCGCCACACGTGCCCGTCCTCAGTGAGAGGCCGCTGCCCACCGCATTAGATGTATCAGACAGCAACCTCGCACCGGGCGGAAACACAAATAGAGGCTGCGGAATACAGCTCCGCTGTACAATCCGTCCCGGCAGCACCCCACCACATCAGACAGCAACCTCGCACCGGGCCGAAACACAGATAGAGACCGCGGAATACAGCTCCGCTGTACAAGCCGCCCCGGTAGCACCCCACTGCGTGCGTGGCAAAACTCCTCCGGGACTCAGTGACCATTCCGGATTCTCATCCATGGAGGAGACGGATTGGAGGAAATCAGCAGGCCGGCTTCAGTACTGCTTGGGAACCCTCCTGGGTCACGATTACTAACAATCCTAAGTATGCAATACACAACTGTGGGGAGTGAGCGGCGGCACCCTTCCATCACTGGTATTCGAGGAAAGTTTATTGAGAAAAGACAGACGATAAGCGAAGAAAAGCAAATACGTAAAATGAAACGGCCTAGCTGAAATAAAAGGGGCATTCAATCACAGACACGTACCTATGTTTGAAAGCGGGGGGACCCGCGAAATACCCAATCCTCCGCAAGCATGAAAGACATCGGGCGACGCGAATGTAATGTGATGCTCTCTAAACTGAGAAGACGGAAAGAACAAGACAGCCTGGGCAGAGAGAAAAGAAGCTCCAACGGCGAACGAAACATTATGACTCGTGGGGCGTCGGAGAGCGCGCGAGCACGCGCAGTACGCCCGGCGTACTCACATTGTAGGCCTTGTGGACGACGCACTTGTCCTGCAGGTCCTCCAGCTTGATCTGGGCGGTTCCGATCAGCTGGTCCGTCCAGCCGAATAGATGACTGCAGGTAAAACAGCACCATGAACAGCGGCAGCACCGCCTGCAACGTGACCTCACGTCACGCGACCAGCTCGGGGCCCGGCACGGACAAGGCCAACGTACAGCAGCGACGAAGACCATCGCACGGCAGACATATGACCATACCTGACATATGCCCATGTGATCGAGGTTCGGTATAGACATACTCGCACCCAGCGCGGACAATGTACAGCGGTGTCCCTTACGTGAAGCAGAGAGTACCAGCAATCAAGACCACGCTTGGTGGCGACATGGCATCGATGGTTACCCGTCGCAGAGGGACCTCGGGGGATCAATACAAGCTGGCGGGGACGTCGGGACGGGTGTGAAGCAGTCTGCGCGCTGCTTACAGGCACGTGCAGAGTCCCAGCTGGGGTCGGAGCAGCCAACGTCTGGTAATCGGACGGCAATTGGAAGATGCAAAACCTGTGTGAAAAGGTGTGGAGAACGCCAAACGCGCAATGTGTGGCCTATACCGACTTGAAGGAAGGGCATGGTTCACCCTGCTCGGCATCATTCGTACTGTCCTGGTTGCTCCACAGAGCAAAAAGAGCAGCAGCTAGGCGCTACGGGGACCGCTGCCCCGGGGATATTGACAGATTCCGGACCGGACGGGGTCCGGAGCGACTGTGGGCCCCTTCCCACGCCCTTCGTTTTCGCGCATCGACCGGGACAGAAGACAACGTGACATACAGTTGACTGCACGGCTGCGCACCACCCCCGGGACACGCGCGCAGTGCTGGAGAAATTCCACTCCGCGTCTCCGTTCAGGTAGTTCCGTCCGCTACCCGCCATCGATCCTCGGCCACGTGCACGCCTCGGCGGAGGCCTCCCCCCACTTAAATACGTAACCCTCCGTACACAGGAGAGCGGCGTGGCGTGCGCTGTTACCGTCGTGTCGGGACCTGCCGCACGCCGACCGACGGCTCGTCGCATGAGAGCGTAATGAGCTCGCTATCGAGCCATGTGACGCCGAGGACCTCCGCCGCAGGGCTCGCTATCGAACAAGGCGCAGCTGAGGACTGCCGCCGCAGGCTCGCTATCGAGCCAGGCTTCGCCGAGGACTGCCGCTGCAGGCTCGCTATCGAGCCAGGCTTCGCCGAGGACCTCCGCCGCAGGCTCGCTATCGAGCCATGTGACGCCGAGGACTGCCGCCGCAGGCTCGCTATCGAGCCAAGCTTCGCCGAGGACCTCCGCCGCAGGCTCGCTATCGAGCCATGTGACGCCGAGGACTGCCGCCGCAGGCTCGCTATCGAGCCATGTGACGCCGAGGACTGCCGCCGCAGGGCTCGCTATCGAGCCATGTGACGCCGAGGACTGCCGCCGCAGGGCTCGCTATCGAGCCAGGCCTCGCCGAGGACTGCCGCCGCAGGCTCGCTATCGAGCCAGGCTTCGCCGAGGACTGCCGCCGCAGGCTCGCTATCGAGCCAGGCTTCGCCGAGGACTGCCGCCGCAGGCTCGCTATCGAGCCATGTGACGCCGAGGACTGCCGCCGCAGGCTCGCTATCGAGCCATGTGACGCCGAGGACTGCCGCCGCAGGCTCGCTATCGAGCCAGGCTTCGCCGAGGACTGCCGCCACAGGCTCGCTATCGAGCCAGGCTTCGCCGAGGACTGCCGCCGCAGGCTCGCTATCGAGCCATGTGACGCCGAGGACTGCCGCCGCAGGCTCGCTATCGAGCCAGGCTTCGCCGAGGACCTCCGCCGCAGGCTCGCTATCGAGCCATGTGACGCCGAGGACTGCCGCCGCAGGCTCGCTATCGAGCCAGGCTTCGCCGAGGACTGCTGCCGCAAGCTCGCTATCGAGGCAGGCGTCGCCGAGGACTGCCGCCGCAGGCTCGCTATCGAGGCAGGCGTCGCCGAGGACTGCCGCCGCAGGCTCGCTATCGAGGCAGGCGCCGCCGAGGACTGCTGCCGCAGGACGCGACGGTGGCCGACCAGTGATTGGCCCAGGCCGGCCGCAGACGTGAGCTGACCACCGATCAGCCAACGGCAGCATCGACGGGCTGTGGCCCGGCAGCCAGCGGCCAGAGTGGCCAGCCAGCATCCGCGTGATCGTGCCTCGTGCGCATCTAAAAGTTTGAAAGTAGATCTTGTACGCGCGCCCAACCCTTCTCAGCCGTGTAAGTGATGATAAATCATACCAACTAAGCGAAAATCCCGCAGAGGAAAATTCACTTCCCCAGTCTGCTCTACCGCTAAACGCCCCGGATACCGGCGATATACACGAGCTCTCTGTACATCTGAAGCGAATTTACGGGCAACTTTACAGCGCACGGCCGCCATGCACTTCGCGCATTACATGCTGCATAACATCACATAATGGTGCCTAATAATCGCCGCGTAAGATTACAGGATCAACACTGAATAACGGAAGCCTTACAAAGCCAGCCGCAACTGACTTGCTTCAAAGAGCATAGGATTAAAGGGAGTGTGTCTGGCGCGTTGGAGGCTTGAAACTATGGTAGTTGCATAAACTGTGTTTTCCCATCGATGGCATCCATCACTGTATGCGTCGTACGGCTGCGAATGCATCTATCTTAGGAGAAGAACTGCATCAAACAACGGGACGAAAAAGCCCATTAACTGCACATTGAAGGCGCACAACAAATTCACAGAAAATCATGCTTCCATTCATTCCATACGCCACTGAGCACATCCAATTTGCCTTGAAGAAAAGTGTTTTTACTTCATTGACGACTGATAACATCACAATCACAGAAAAGAATAACGGCTTGTCTTTCCCTTGTTAATGATGACTTCACTGCGCAAAATGTGTTCTCGTTATAAGCAAAAAAGGTCTCGAACTTTGTGGTCGAGGGCTCAGCACCATTTACGTAAAGTAGTACAGCAATCTTGAAAGATTACGGTTCGAAGTTACCGTAATCTGAGCAAGTGCTTACGTGTATATCATATTTGTTTTGACTTGGATAATAAGATAGTCTGAAATAATAAACAGTCTGATCTAAGTTAACCATATTTGATGCTTGCTTCAATCAACTAAGTTAACCATATTTGATGCCTGCTTCAATATCTTCCACTGTGGAACCTTCTAGCTAAGCAAAGCATTGCATCCCTTTCTCACTTCCTTGTCACCAGCCAATCACGCGTGCACCTCTAAGCCTCACAGGGACACGCCCCACCGCGGCTCAACTGCGGCTGCAACTCACACCGCTGACGCTACGTCGCTACGGCCTCCCAGAATGACGCCACGACCCCCCAGAATGGGAGTGGAACACCAGCAACAGCTTCCCAATGTGCAAAGCAGCATAACAATCCCATACTCCAGACACGAAACAGCCAAGCTGATCGTTGCTCGCGGCGGAGCGTCTCCGCCTCTCGCTGGCCTGCGGCGGTCACGCACTCACCCGCGCTCCCAGACCTCACACTTGATACTCTGGCGGCGGAAGATGCGCATCATGGAGCGCGAGCTGCGGTCGATGGCGATCAGGAACTTGGCGTCGTAGTCGGGGTTGTTGGTGTTTCTCACCTTGCCCGTCTTGTCGTACGTCGGCGCCTCCTGCTCGGCAGACAGCCCGACACGGGGTTAGGTTTGCGGGCTTAATGTAGCAATGCTTGCGATGAAGTCGTGCAACGCATTGGAGATGCGGTTTAAGTTCGTGCCATTCTTAGTGTGGAGCGCCGAAGCGCGCGTAACTAGTGTCGGGCACGCAACACGGTTACGTGTTGCGTGTCCGACCCTTTCTGAATTATCGAAAAGCGACGAGGCAGTGGTCGCAGATGCTGAAGGAGATGAGGCCCATAGCGCTACCATGCAAAACGCCACGAGCGATCATCGGTCGAGGAGAGTTTCACCACCATATCCACGCAGATGTCTGCTCATCAGTGCACACTCAATGACGACTTATTTTCTCACACATAGTCGATACAAAGCGTTTCCCAATGGTCCGCAGCCTGGGCGCCCAGCTAACGCATCAGAAGTGGCAGCGGTCGCGGCAGCTGACTCATAGTGACGATAACAAAGCACAGGTGCGGCCGCGGGCGCACACAAAAAGCGTGCGATATCAGGGGGCGGGCCGATATGCGCCGTCATCGGGGGTGAGCGCCACGCGCCTGTCGTCACGCGGGTTCAGGGCTGTACGACGGGCCGCCGGCCTGGGTCAAGAGGGCACGTGGCACGGTTCGGCCGCGTCACGCGCGGTCACACCAGTCCGGGTGGGACGCGGACACAGCTCCGCGGTCGCGGCGGGTGGCATCGAACCACTGCGTTTTGCCTGCCCCTGCATCAAATGAAAGGAACGGCCTACCGTCTAGCTGTTGACAACGCGGCAGCTGTGGCAGAAGGAACAGCATTTGAGCAGAGCGGCAAGGCTACTACATGCCGTAGCGTCCGGGCCTTTTGACTGCAGGACGAAACGGACTTCGGTTCTCGCTTCAAATATCGCATCAAAGTGTGATACTGAACTCCGTCATGTCATTTCCAGCGAGACTGTGGTATTCAAGGCTGACGCGGTGTGGGCTTGTGGTTGCAAACCGTGTGACTCGGAGAGCAGCGGCGACTCCAGCCCGCGTGAGAAAGCTGTCAAACAAGGCCGGTCCGCACGGACGTCACCGGGGACTGACATAAACAGCCAAATCCCTGCAATGCCCGCCCTCTCGTCCCCAGTTACAGGCATCTGCAGCCTTCCGGCCTCTCCCAGTCTACACAGTTCTCCGCAGCCTCTCTGAGTCTCCGCAAGCTCTCAACGATCTCTCCGAGTTTCCGCACAGTTCTCCACGGCCTCCCCGGCCGTGGAGAACTGGAGGAGAACTGAGTCTCTGATGAACTGAGGCCGCGGAGAACTGAGTCCCCGCACAGTTCTCGGCAGCCTCCCCGAGTCTCCGCACAGTTCTCCACAGCCCTCCGAGTCTCCGCACAGTTTTCCACGGCCTCCCCGAGTCTCCGCACAGTTTTCCACTGCCACTCCGAGTCTCCGCACAGTTTTCCACTGCCACTCCGAGTCTCCGCACAGTTCTCGGCAGCCTCCCCGAGTCTCCGCACAGTTCTCCACGGCCTCCCCGTGTCTCCGCACAGTTCTCCATAGCCACTCCGAGTCTCCGCACAGTTCTCCGCAGCCTCCCCGAGTCTCCGCACAGGTCAGGCCAGGCCGCCACGCGACCCCGTATGTGACGCCACCGGCCGTCCAGGCCGCAAGCCTCGGGGCACGCAGTGGGTGCTTGCGAACGTGTGTCGTGGTGTCTCCACCCAGTCCATGTCGATGAAGTGACCAGCTCAGACCTTAGTGGTTATTGCGTTGCATTAAATTGGAAAATGGCACGGCCGCTCAATTCCGCAGCCCGACAGGAAGACGCCCACTCCGTACCGCCGGACCCACGTCAATGCATGCTCGGTTCGCTTAAACGCGGCAGTAAGCATTCCACTTACGTGTTGCGAGGCATACACCCCATGCCGCCCATTGTCTAGCAAAAACTTGGCCAAGTGTGAACAAACGCGCGTGTGTGCGTGTGTGTGCGTGTGTGAATTTGTGTGGGAGGCTCGCCGAGGCCAGTACCCACCTGGGGCCAGGGGAACTCCCACTTGACGTATGTGTCCACGTCCTTGGGGTTGGGCACGTTGTAGTTGATACCGCGCACTATGGTCATCTCCAGGTCGTTGCTATTCAGGTCAGTGCAGGCTCTGCAACAGAAGGCGCCGTTCAGCGGACCGTGTTGAGGCACCAGGGTGTTCTCAGACGGACGACAGCTTAGCCCTGATATGACAAACACAGGAGACGGCCGAACGGAGGAAAACCAAGCCGCATTCCAGGAAACAGCCGGCAAAAGTACGACGTGGTCGTACTCTGCGACTCATGCCACTGCGACCGCGAAGCAAGGCCCAGAGACTCTGGCAATCCGGTACAGGTTGAAGGTGCCACAGCTTGTCCAGGCATATCTTTAAACCGTCTTCCAAATTATTTGCACGGGTGACTTCAGGTTCACAGCAGAGCTTGTCGTGTGCGCCCTGGGCCGATCATTTAGGTGGTGCTGATCCGGTTCGCCGAATCCTGTCCGCAGGCTTCTTGCCACAGAGGACCGCTGGGAGTTTCACAGGCCGTGCAGCGCTACAAGCCAGCCGTCCCGGGCCGGGCTGACCCGTCGCGGACAGCTGTCAGCTGACATGTCTGACCCACCGCGGGCAACAGTCGGCTGACATGGCTGACCCGCCGCGGACAGCTGTCAGCTGACATGGCTGACCCGTCGCAGACGGCTGTCAGCTGACATGGCTGACCCATCGCGGGCAGCTGTCAGCTGACATGGCTGACCCGTCGCGGACAGCTGTCAGCTGACATGGCTGACCCGTCGCGGACGGCTGTCAGCTGACATGGCTGACCCATCGCGGGCAGCTGTCAGCTGACTCCTCCATGCCAGTCGGACCATGTGAAGTGCCCGGTGCTGGGTCTGCACCCAATACCCCTGATTGACGAGTTCAGAACGTTCCCCCTACACCACGGAACAGGTGGACAAAGTGAAGCAATACCAACAACGCGACGCGATCGCATGCATACATGCCCACCACTTGAGTTGCATTAAGCACGGGACCACCATCAGCAGTGGCATCGAGCCCGAACAGGCTTCAAATCGGTGCACGCCCAACTCGCAAGAGCACCAGCCAAACAGGCAGCTAGCGAGACCAGCAGTCGCTTCACCAACGGCCACGTATAATGCGCCCTCCCGCTCCACCGATCCCGCCCCCGGAGCGACGCCGCCCGGCACCTTCCCCACCCCACCGCCAGGGGCGCGCCGGCGGCCCGTGCCGGCCCGCCAGGCGCCGGACTGGAACGGTCAGACGGCGGACAGGAGCGGAATTCCACGGCGGCCGGCCCGGAGAGGTCACTGGGAGCGCGCGCGAGTGAGACGCCGCCGATGTTTGCCGCGGCCGCTACTGACGGCCGAGGGCCGCGCCGCGCCACAATAACAAACAGGGCACCAGGTCGGGAAGGCCGGGTGCCCCCCCCCCCCCCCCAAGCCGCTGAGGTGAAAGTGCAGCGTAGTAAGGTGAGAATGGGAACGTGGCGCGGTGAGAAGAGGATCTCGCCTTCACCGAAGCGGAACACGCGCGGAAATGAAGGTCGTAATGCCACCTGAGGTTTGTTGCCGTGGAAAACGTACGAGCGCCAACCGGACGGCCCCAACACTGCTCTGCTGCGCCGCGTTTTATTTCATGCGGCACTAAACGTCAGACGTGAAGGACGATGCGCTCATAGAGCGTGGGCACCTCCAATAATCTTCCCTCAGTTCGCGCCTCGTGGTGTTCAGCTCCAGGCCCAAACAGACGGCAGCCCCGTCACCTGCCCCACGGCACACTCCAGAACTCGCCAGCTCTTCACGGAGACGCCACGTCTGCGGCCGCATCAGCACGCCGACCACTCACTTGACGATCTGGAACTCGCGCATCTCGTAGTGGAACTTGGGCACGAAGTCGCCCCGACGGAATGCGTGCCGCAGCGCGTCCAGGTCCTTCAGGCTGTTCTGCGAGAAGCGGTCGAACTTGTTGGCCTGCGCCACATCGCCCAGCGCCTGGTAGTGGTCTCGGTTGGTCTGGCACATCTGAAAACGCGCCCACCAAGACTCAGGGCCAACAGCGCATGTTGTTATGGTCTGGACATGGGAGACAGTTTCCGGCCGACACTTCTCGATACCACTATGCCATGTCCAGAGTTCCGAACGGCAAGCTCTACCCATGTTGCGAACGGTTAAATGATGTACGCCGTACTTGATTAGCATCTTGGTTGCAGGTTACATAATTATTCTGAAAGGATGCTCAAAATATGAACACGTGCACTGCCTTTACGATCTAGTGCGTTTGAATAACGACCGCCGCATGCTTTCCCATAGTCACACCGCATCTCTAACAAGCGTCTCCAGCCCTCCACAAACGGGTGGCCGCTGCGGGCGCTGCGTGAGGCAGCCGTGAGGCGCGCCTGGCACGTTGTGCCGGCGCGCCGCTGCTCCTGCTGACACCACCACCACCCACCGTGGCCTGACGGATCAGGCTGGCCTCCAGCTTCTGGAAGAGCTGTGTCAAGTCTTCATCCTGGCCGGCCTCCATCACCTCATCCCTCGACAGCACCTCGAAGTCGGTGGTGGCCTTGGCGCGATGCTGGGGCGGGATCGGCAACTGGAAACGGGCCGACCGAAATCAGAGCACACCCACGCCGCAAGGTAGGGTGGCAAAATACAGCCACGCGGCGAAGCGAGGCCAAGACACAGTCACAACGCCGAGCACGGGTCCAAACTCCCTGCCGGGGTCCGGCGACCTAGTCTACGCCATCCACGGCACCCGCAACGCTGACCACAGCGCAGCCAGTTCCGTCCACAGCGGCCACGATGGCTCCCTCCGTCGTGGCCACGCCGGCCGCGAGACCGCCCTCTCACCGAGTCCATGTTGACGGGCAGACCGCTCTCGGTGGCCTCCAGCAGTGGCTCGAAGCCCTTGGCCGAGCGCAGGTACTCCTTGGCCGTGGCCATGTCGCCCGCCTTCTTGGCCTGCAGCGCCGCCTGCATGAAGAGGCGCCGTCGCGACTGCAGCAGCGCCATCTGCTTCTGCTGCCGCGTGTGCTGCCCGACCGCTGCCGACACATACGGGGTCCGACGTGCTGCCGTCAGGGCTGGAAGAAGACTGTTGCAGACAGCCAACGGCTGCTTTCAAATGGACAGAGGAAAAAGACAGGAGCAAATGGAATGGGGGAGATGAAATACGGATTGATCCGAGCACAGATCATGCTCGATACAGCACAGCCGCCACGGATTTCGGGGGAACTAAGGCTTCCAGACTACTTGGTAGAATCTAAACAACTAAATCAGCAGCGTACGTGTCCGTGAGCGTGTGCGTCTGTGCGTCCGGATCTATTGGCGAGACGCACAGCGCTGACAGCCACACGGATCGCCGAGCGTTACGGTGCGTATATCTATCCCACGCTGCTGCACAACAAACTGGCTTACAAATGAAGCTTATCTCCCATGACCCACACACGTCGCTGGTAGCCAGCTCATCACAACCGGTTCCTGTCACATGTCCCGTCAGCCAGAGATGGAATCAGGCATAAAATCCTATGAATGACATTGAATTCGTCAAAAACAATGCAACATCCTATCGTTTATAGAACGTTCCCGGCCTTTCCATGCCTTTTGAACGGCTCAGCTCCGTCGCTGAACCAAGCAACACGGCCAGCGTCTGACGGTCCGAGAGGTCCCCCCCCCCCCTCCGCACAGCAGCAGCTCCTGGCCGGGCGCACTCACACATCAATACATAGTCCCACCAGCTGCGGGTGTGGACGCCCCCTGTCCCCCTCTCCGCACAGCAGCAGCTCCTGGCCGGGCGCACTCACGCATCAATATATAGTCCCACCAGCTGCGGTTGTGGACGCCCCCTGTCCCCCTCCCCGCACAGCAGCAGCTCCTGGCCGGGCGCACTCACACATCAATACATAGTCCCACCAGCTGCGGGTGTGGACGCCCCCTGTCCCCCTCTCCGCACAGCAGCAGCTCCTGGCCGGGCGCACTCACACATCAATACATAGTCCTACCAGCTGGGGGTGTGGACGCCCCCCTGTCCCCCTCTCCGCGCAGCAGCAGCTCCTGGCCGAGCGCACTCACACATCAATACATAGTCCCACCAGCTGCGGGTGTGGACGCCGCCCCCCCCCCCCCCCACTCCGCACAGCAGCAGCTCCTCACACATCAATACATAGTCCCGCCAGCTGCGGGTGCGGACGCCCCCCTGCCTCCCTCTCCACACAGCAGCAGCTCCTGGCCGAGTGCACTCACACATCTGCCGGGTGACGGTCGGCTTGGAGCCGGAGGGACGCGGCTCCGGGTCCGGCTGGGCGGCGGCGGCCGGAGCGGCGGCCGAGGCGCCCTCGGTCGGGATCGGCGCGAACCCTGCCGACACGCGGCGCCGGTCAGGGCGGCGTCATGGCACCGGCACGGGCGCCGCACACCGAGGCTGGTGACGGGATGGGAGGCGATGCCACGCCCACAGGCTTGGAAGACATAGCTGCCAGGTAAACATAAACAATAGCATACGGTCTGGTACGTGACAATGGGCACAGTCGTGCATTTATGCATAAACATTTACACAGCACATGTGTATTTGCACTACAGCTTGTGGAAGACCACGCGAGCAGACTTGCAGCGGGGAAATAGACGCACAATACACAAATATACACAACATGCTTAGCGCCCAATGTCTGCAAACACATCCAGCAAGGCATGGAACGTCCGTGCGCCGCCTTGTCCGGCCTCCTCTCCCGCACGCTGGTCCTGCCGGACACGTCAGTGCGACAGGCTGCAGCCCTCCGCCCGCGCCACCACCGGGCCCCGAGGCCTGCGAGCCGGTCTCGCGCACCGGCAGCCCGGTCTGCAGCGATCCCACCGCATCTGTTCATCCCCGGAGCGTCTGACTCTGGTGAGATGTGCTGACCCGACAGGCACAGGCCGCGGCGTCCGCTCACCGGGCGGCGTCGGCAGCTCGTCGAAGGCCACCGGTTTGCCGGCCTGGTGCCGCCGGATGGCGTCCGTGTACTGCTTGCAGATACGGCCGAACCGGCGCGCCTTGCTGCCGTTGCCCGCCTCCTTCGCCTCGTCCTCCTCTTGCTGGGGACGGAGTGGGGCGAGTCAGGCACGAGCAGGAGGCCGCGTCCGGGCTGGCACGTGATGGGCCGCCTACGTCACGGCCAGCTTACTTTAATGTGCTCTTCCGAGGCGCGCTGCTTGTCAGCAACGACCGACGACTTGCAAACTGCCTCGAACAATGTTTAGTTATGCTTTAACGATACGCGATTAGCTATCGACGTAACCTACGGCAAACCGTCCGATAACTAGCTACCATTCTAATGGCGGCGTACTTTCTGGTATCTAGATATGCTAACATCGCAGATCTGGGCAAATGATTTGCAGCAAAAGAAGCAGAGCAACATCACCACTCCCAGTGCCCGCACGACCCAAAGCAAACAACGCAACTCTTGTTTTCACTGCTCCAAGCCCCATGGTCCCCGCCAGCGGCCTGCTCCGCTCCTGCGGCAGCCAGCGACCCCGCGCCAGCCCGGCCCACCTTGTACCGCTGCAGCCGCTGCTCGAGGGCTTCCAGCGCGGTGGCGGGGGGCGGCGGCGCGCCGTACAGAGTCGGGTCGGCCGGCGGCGGCCCGCCCTCCGGCACCACCACCGGCTCGTCCAGCGGGATGCCGCCGCTCGTCGAGCCGCCGCGCCGCATCGGCGGCCGCGGCGCCGACGCGGCGGCGGCGCTCGGCGGCGGCGGAGGCATGTCGCTCAGGTCCACCGTCTCGCCCGCCTCCATCGCCGCCAGCACCTGCTCGAACGCCTGCCGGGAGGGGGAGGGGGGCACATCGGCGTCACGAGCGGACGGCTGTGGTCTGCAGGGGGGGGGGGGGGATGGGCCACAGGTGCAGGTGCAGCGAGTCGCACAGCCTGCGCACACATTAAGTGCAAATGGCAGGCAGGCGGAGGAAATTGCGATAGGCGGGGAAAGCTGACTCCCAGATGATGATGATGATGATGATGATGATGATGATGATGATGATGATGATGATGATCTGGGCTTTGGGACGCACCGACTGCGTTGGTCATATGGCGCCCAAGATTCCCAGTCTTGCATGCATGGGAGTGAGAAGGCGATGCACAAGTAAAACAAATGGCATGAATCGCTGCAAATAACTGATGAACTAGCTGTTTAAGGCGAAAGATGACACTGCAGAATGAATACGAGACAACTGGCATCGCAGGCAAATAACGCAATGCACACCAAACACACCAAAGTCAATGCATGGGTCGCATACGCTGAGGCCCAAACCTCACATATTGCGTCCAACCCCAAGACAACAAAGTGGCGAGCTACCGCACCTTGACGACGCGGACGTACTGCAGGGCCGTCCCCTTGTCGCCGGCCTTTTTGGCCAGCACGGCAGCGTGCTTGTACTGGCCCAGCCTCTCCTGCACCTCAGCCAGGCGCGGGTGCGGCTCGGCGGCGGCGGCAGCGGCGGCCGGCTCCGGGGTCTCGGCCGGCTCGTCAGCAGCCTCGGCCCGGCGGGCCACCTTGGGCGGAGACGGCTGCTCCGGCGGCGTGGCCGGCGCTGTGACGGGCGGCAGAGGCCGGTCAGCGGGGGTGGCGTTACAGCTCGGGAGCTCTGGCCCAGCAGTGGACCCCACACACGGCGCTCACTGCCGCCCGCGACCCCCACGTGCTCTCCAGGACGACGCGCTCGCACATAACAGGCACGGACGGCAATGACATTGGAAGAGACAGCACCCGTAACGATGGCCAGTACCGATCGTGCCGAGCAGATACCAGTCCCACTGAACAGCCAATCTCAGCTGCAAGCCTTAGCGCAGTACGACATCACTGTCTCCCCAGCCAGCGGCAGCTAGCCAGGAGACTGGTGCGCCACTGACCCTGCTCCGCCGGGCCGTCCTCCGGCTCGGGGGTGCTGTGTGCAGCCGCTGTGTACACCGGCGGCGGAATGTCCTCCTCGTTGATCGCCCGGCCGGCCTTCGCCTTCCGCAGCATGTTCTCCAGCGTCTTCAAGCCACGCCCGAACCTGACGGCGAAGAGGCCAAACGGTCACCGCTGTATACGCAGTTTCCATGACACAATGTTGGTATCATTCGAGACCGGTCCTAAATACGCGAGCAGTGGACTGAGCTCGTCGGTGGCCTTAGTCTGCCCTGCTGACAGCAGGAAGGTGGGACATAGGCACGAAGTGTTCAGTTCACGCTACAGGCTCTGTGCCAGACAAGAACAACTGCGACAGAACAGTTTTAGACCGCACTCAGAGGCCTCCAAACCTGATATTGACATATCACCTCTCCGGAGACCGTACCCAGCGGACCACGAGCCCGCGCAGTTATCTCTAGTCCGGTGGGCGGAATGATGGAGTAAGCCGGGTGGATTGTTACGCCCCCCCCCCCCCCCCCCCCCCCCCGGTAGGGTCTTAACCGTTCCGCTCACCGGCGCGCGCGGCTGCTCTGGCCCGCCTCCTTGGCGTTGGCCTCGGCCACGCGGTACATCTCGAGCCGCTCCAGTAGCACCACGGTCATGTCCCCGGCGGCGGCCGGCGGGGCGGGGGCGGCCGGCGCCTGGGCCGGCACCGGCGGTGGCGGCGCCCGCCGGGCCGGCGCGGGCGCGGGCGCCGGCGACGCCTCCTCCGTCATCTCGGCTAACTCCGCCTGGTCAGGCACAAGCAGGACTCAGCAAGCTGAGAGCGGTTCGCTCCATGAAGCCAGTGCAAGCTACATCTTGGCATTGCCTTCAATCCTGTCACCGATATCACCAGTTTATAAACAGGGCCCAACATTTCCAGCTGCAGCCCCAAATTAGGACCCCGGGACGCAAAACGAGGGCACTCGCGTCGTCTGTGTCGTTTATAGGCCGAGCTGCAGCCGACTGAGTCATCTGTTACCTACTGCGGCCTCCCCCGCCCCTCGTCTCACTCAAGCCCCGGTAAACACCATGCAACACCATATCAAATCATTCGGTGCTTCCACGGAGCGAACACAGCCCAGCAAACACGTCAAGAGGTGGAGATTAGCTTAGGATGCGATTGACACGGCCGGCGAGCTGCAGCCTTGACGACAACAAACTCAACGAGAGTCAACCCTGGCCCGGGGCGGCCGTGTCGCAGCATTGTGCGGCACGTAGAACCCTCCGCACTCTTGTCTGGCGAAAGGGCGGATGCGCAATCATCCGTTGCACTGGACGGCACGACTTGGGTGGTGGGTTCGAGGTAGACGGAACAAGCTATGCTAAGCAGGCCCTCTGGGCCCAAAGAGAGCCATACGAGCCATTCGGAGCATCTTTTAGCGGTGTGAATTGTTTCCGCCGTGAGTTGTGTGTGAGTTGTTTTTTAAAAGGAACGCGGCACGCGTCGTCACGCCCATCTCATGGAGAGCCGGCGACTACACTGGCCACATAAGCGCTCAGGGGGCATGGCACAACCGGAATTCAAAACCCGGACTCCACGTGGGAGTCCGGAACGCTAACCACTCGGCCATTAGACCCCTGAGCGACGGACCCACCAGCAGTTCGGGGTCGTTCTCGTCCACGTCCGAGATCTCGTCGTCGTCACGCAGGCTGGCGGCCGTCATGGCGGCCAGGTCCGGCTGCGGCGTCGGTCGCTCTGCGGGCATCAGCTGGGATCAGCGGGCACCAGCTGGGGTCAGCGGGCACCGGCCGGGGTCAGCAGTCACCAGCCGGGGTCAGCGGACACCAACCCGGGTCAGCGGACACCAGCCGGGTCAGCGAGCACCAGCTGGGGTTAGTGGACACCAGCCGGGGTCACAAACACCAGCCAGGGTCAGCGGGCACCAACCGGGGTCAACGGACACCAGTCGGGGTCAGCGGACACCAGCCGGGGTCAGCGGACACCAACCCGGGTCAGCGGACACCAGCCGGGTCAGCGAGCACCAGCCGGGGTCAGCGGACACCAGCTGAGGTTAGCGGACACCAGCCGGGGTCAGCGGGCACCAGCCAGGGTCAGCGCACAGCAGCCGGGGTCAGCGAACACCAGTCGGGGTCAGTGGGCACCAGCTGGGGTCAACGGACACCAGCCGGGGTCAGCGGACACCAGCCGGGGTCAGCGAACACCAGTCGGGGTCAGTGGGCACCAGCTGGGGTCAGCGGACACAAGCCAGGGTCAGCCGAGGACATGTGTTGCACAAGGAGCGGTGGCACGGTCAGATACTTAAAAACGCCATTTGACACTAGAATGTCAAGAAACTTATGACAGCAATTTGTAACCAAGACACTAGATGGCGAGTGCCTGCACTCAGTAGTTAGCGCTGTGTGACAGCCGGCATTTTCTCATTGGCTTGTAAGTGAGAGCACACCAATCTTGGCAGAAATGCCCAGCTAACAAGATGGCCAAATCCTCACCATTACAAACAATAACAGTACCTCCAGTTTAGCTGTAACAAGCACACACCACAATAGCGTGGCCTCGGTATTTCGGCGCCAGCCCACGCCCGCGACTGCCTCACAGTGCCAGCACGGCCACCGCCGTCCACGCTGAGTGCAGCTTGACACGCGTGACCAACGAAATGTGTTAGTTCACCAATTCTGGACTGCGCAGACGGCCACGCAGCGCGGTTATCGGGGATACGCCGTCCGAGCTGGCACTTACGCAGCCTGTAGCGGCCGCCCTAGTCACTAGGGCAGCTGGTGACAGGCGTTACTCACTGGCGCGTGCTGGCCGCTGGCCCTCCATGTCGGTGCCGGCCAGCAGCTGGGAGAGCTCGGCCTCCAGCGCCGCGTCCGACACGTCCAGGTCGGCGTCTGGCGCCAGGCCGGCGGCGTCCGCAGCACCCACGCTCATCAGACCATACTGGGCAGCAGGGCCCAACAAGTCAGTGGGGTCACTGGGATGGGAAGCAGCTCGCACAGGAACAGCACAATGCACCAGGCTGCACAGAGGCTGAGCATTGTGTGCATTTTAACCGGGCTACTGTTGTCAAGAACAGCTGACCTGGAAACAAGTTATGCAGTAGCCAATATATTCACACACCAGTTTGAGCCAGTGCATCACATGGATCATGTGATAATCTCATTCCCAAAACAAAGTGTGCCTAGAAAAGAGCCACTGTAGTAAATGCCATGGGGGATGAAAGCCATGGTGTAATATTTGATTGAATTTGTGGGATAATGGTTTTGCATATATTAAGCCTAAACAGGATGGTTCAAGCTTTCATAGCATTTATGATGCAATCATTCTGACACATTTTGGCAAGTTCCTGCATGATAGAAAACACTGAAATCTGCTAAAATGGCTAACATACCTGTGAAAGATCTCCTTGGCCTGTTTTTGGCCTTCTTCTCCCAGCCATTATCTCCTTTCTGAAAAATGCAAAGCAAATTTATGTTTAAAGGCAGAGTATTTGAGAATTTCCAAAAAAGATAGTCTTCTTAGAATGACATGCAAGCAGTGAATAGTTTTCCTATGAAACATTGTGTTACCTTATCTTCTGACAGCTAGTCTGAGCTCTGCTAGGCTGCTGAGCTGATATCAAGGTGCATGTCAGTGTCCTTTGTTATATTTCATGACAATATGTAAAGTAAAAAATAAAACTGTTAAGTTGAAGGAAAGGGATGAAAACCTGGCAACAAGGCACTCAGGACAAGATAACAATTTCAAGGTCATATGATGCCTGTGAGCAAAAGCATCAATTGGTCTGAGGTGATCCTAAGTCATTGCTCCTAAACTGATAAGAACCATGTATCTGACTATTTCCAGTGAGCCTGCCTTGTTGGCACCACCTCCCAGTCATATTAATGCACTCTTTTGTCACCATGACCTTGACCCACAATGAGCACAGGTGATGTCAGTGACATAACCTTGCCTTTGGTCTGATCACATAACTCATCATCATACAATTTGGTGCTGGACACACTTCTAGAACCTACCACTGGACCTCTGCAGTGGTTTGTTTGTTAAGTGCTATGCAAAGCAGAATACCTTTGTTTCCATAATTTTATTAATACACATTTCCTGCTGGTTTGAGCCTAAGCCTGATCTAAAACAAAGCATGGCAAAGCATGACATCTATATCACATAGACACTTTTTGTTCCACCGTACTTTCCACTTTCCTGCTAATTTGAACCTAGGCCTGATCTAAAACAAAGCATGACAAAGCATGGCATCTACATCACACTGCCGCTTTGTTTTGTTCCACTCATCTCTTCAATACAAATGTCGCCATCACTTTTCTCCCCTTCACATAGTGAATCACCGAAATAGGTACCACAGAACATGCGGACTTAACCTTATGGGTATAAGTTCAATAAGTGTTGTCTTCTGAAATGGCTAGAATAAAGGCGACGAATCGCAGTTTTCAAGTCCAGTCCCCGTCACGCACCCGACCACCCACGCAATTTGCAGAAGAGCTAGGCCGAGCTGCGCTGAGCCTCAAGGGCGTTTGACTGGAAGGGGAGGTACCAAGTTTCAACCACGGCGCATTGCTGCATAACCTTGTGTATCATCAATATTTCAGAAATATATGTCACGTGATAAAAATATTCGGTTTTGGCAAGTTTCATTGGTATGTAAATGTCTTGGTCAGATTGATTAGATCCGTACAAATTTATTTTAACATGATAATCATTCCTTATTAGTCTTCATCTGAAACAGTTGTATAATCATCTTTCAACATCTTGGACGGTGTGACTGCGTGATGTCATGGCTATTGGACGGGGTTGGTGGGACGAACGTGACGTTTGGAGCACGTAAGCGGTGTTTGTCGTGTGGTTGCGCGAAAACTTGGCGAAGTATGGGAATCTGAAATACTGCGTGTCAAAGCTGTGATGGCGACATCTATGACGAGATTACAGAAGTTATCACTTTACAAAAGTTTGCTTAGGGAAAGTGCCAAGTTTTCGTCCTATAACTACAGGTAAGTGGCCGTCCAGAAATTACGTTACTCGTGGATGAAGAGATTTCTTATGAAGCGTGAGAATGAGGGCGACTTGGATAGGATAATGTCACGTTTGGGTGTGGTTGCAAATTGTTGTATTTTTTTTTTATAGTGTTTAACACCATAACCAGGGAATGGGTTGGGTCTGACGCTGCACAACAGCACAACCAAGTGGTAACCAAAGGCCAGGCTGCAAAAAAATCATAAATTGCCCTTCATTCCTATGCATCTTTGGTGTGCTGAGCCTCAATGTATCAACTGAGGCTCCTAACTGAGGCCAGGTAAGCTTGTGTTGAGTTTTCAGACTGTTTTGGGGTTAAAATGTTACCACATTTGCCTACATTTTCCTTCGCAACATCAAGAGGTCTTACAACTTTGCCTCTTAATGCACTGAAATTGGTGGGGATTACATCAAGCCCTAAAAATAGGGTTTAATTTGTTTGTGGTTTGAAAATATCACTATGAGGGTTCTTGTGTCATACTTCATGTGTTTCATACTTTGCATGATTGGTGTAGCATGCATTTTTTAGCCTGAATAAGGAGCAGGGTGGTTGAAATGCATTGATATATGTATTTTTTTAATGGGATCCTTGGAAGTCCTGCATTTCTTCAATTTCAGTTTCATGGAGTCCTTTTCCATTTATCCAGTATGATGTGCCCTGTTTGAGCCTTGTGATTGGATCAAAACTCATAGGAGTTCTCTAGATGAGGGGGAAAGGGGGCTGACATGAGGTTATGCAATTTCCTGGCTTGGCAGAATTTAATGTTACGTATGCCTTTGTGCCTTATATAGAAAGTAAGTTGTCAAAATGTTACTATCTCCCACTTAAATAAGGGGAATGGCATATATGCATTAGATGGAAAAAATGAAATGAAGGCCTGTTTTACCAAATTGAGAATTATCAACATGCAGTGTACAAGGAGTTACATGTTAAACATATCCCAGGCAGTCATTAGCATGTTTTTTTGAGAGTATGGATAATCAGAATTATTATAGAATTGATACTTAATAATGAAAGAATAGCTAATTTAATCCTACAAAGGGCTGAAGGTTTATATATCAGTGCCTGATATACTGAAATTTGGCTTTTTTGGTGTGGGAACTCATTAGGTTGAAATTTACATCTGTTGATCTTTGGCTTTGATGTCATGTGGGATGTCATGTTCAGTTGTGTGCAGCTAAGTGTGATGTATACTTAAGTATCTCTGTCCTGCATGCTGCATCGTGATGTACCTTGTGGGCTCCAATCTAGTTTGTGCTATTGTCTGAGTGCTCTGGCATTGTCCAGCAATGTTTCAAGTTCTACAGGCTGCAGCAAGTTTCATTTGTCAGGATGTCTTACCTGAATGGGGAACAAACCAGTCAGATATCACCCCCCAGAAACCTGGCCAGGCTATTAGGTGTCTCTGCCTGGAGGAACCCTCTAAGTGTACTGAACTTTACTTTTATTTGAATTTTCCATGCAACAGGTACAAAAACTTGGTAATCAACACCAGCCAACTCAACCAAATGTGGTGGTAGTCGTTTGCAATGGCCACCAAAACCACACTAACCCTGTCTGACATGCCTAACATGAGCACTGCATTGCAGCCTGCAGCCCACCTTGTGGATACCAGTGGGGGTTTTCGTGGCAGCCTGTAATAGTCGCACACATCAACTTACATTCTTCACTCCCGAAGCCCTACACGCCCAACAATGTCTAAAGCCATAGCATCCATAGCATCAACGCTGTGCAGATTGCGATATCTGGTTTCGACGATCGACGCCCAAAAAAGGATAATGATGCCCAACGACAACATCTTCCGCCGAGGCAGAGCCAAGGAACGCATTAGGGCAGTACTGTAATTTCCTTTTCAGTGTGTGTGTGTGGGGGGGGGGGGGGAAGAGAAGGCTTTAACTTCATAACGTTGAGATCAAAGCTGTTGAAATTCGGGAACAAAAGTTCAAGTGTATTAGGGGCTTGGTTTTCTGGTGTTAGTCCTATTCTATTTTCTTTCCCTTTCCTATTTTGTAAAGCTAACCCCTGTGGTAGAGGTTTGACGACCTTGACACGCGACGAATTAGCCCCCACATTACTCCAGCGTCATGTCTGGGACTTGTGATCTATTGCCCCAAGCAAGGACAAGTTCGGATTTACATTGACCTGGGCTCCTTAGTCAGTAGGTGGCCTTGTGCCGGTCAGGGGACCACAGTACCTATCAAGGGTCCTGCATTGGCAGAGAGCCCACAGCCGGTCTGGGGCAGTGTTGGAGGGGGCCCGCAGAGGACCGAAGGACCTCTCGGGATCGGCGATCAGGTGCATGGTTTGAGGGCACGAGGTGCTGGCTGCCGGTCGCACGAAGGACTCCGGGACGCAGGAGTGGTCCCTCGAATGCCAGTCAGAGGCCCTTTTGCACCGATTTGGGACATCTTTGGACAATGCGGGCCTCTTTTTCGGCCAGAGGCCACCAAGACCTAACAATCGGCTTGGTGGCGGTCTGAGCCCTGAGGCGCCCGTTTACTGAGCAGTGGCAAGGCCTAGACAATCGATTTGCTTTGGTCGGGTTATGCAAGACGTAGCCAAAGTTTTTCTCAAGGGCAGAAGCGTGTCAAATTTTTAGAGCTACAGTTTGTAAGAAACAAATTTTCTCCAAAACCCCACGAATTTAGACAAAATTTCTGTAAAATTGCCCGACTCGGTTGGGGCTTCGCCTGCTTCCAAACTTAACACGAGATGGCCGGGGACTGTCAGTAGGAGGGGAACACTAGCCATGATGTGCCGCATCCTTTGGAAGCATACTTGCGACTTCCAGCGCTTGGCGTGCCCACGGCGTCTTTCGAGTTGACCTGAGCGTGCCAGACCGCCCCCGAACAGCAGCGCGACCGACTTCCCCAGCCCGCTGGCCTGCCACCTGCTGCGCGCCCCACACTCATCACTCGCCGCCGTATCGCCGCATTTTCTGTTCACCCCGTCCCAGAGCGGCCCCAGTACGACCAGTGTCTCGAAACATGCAGACGGCTGTGGTGCAAAGCGTCAGCACGCTCCCCGGACTCTAGTGCCGTCCGGGCGCGGTCTCAGCACGCGTTCTTGACCCCGATTCATCTCCCGGACGCCGAATTTGTCTCGATGCAGCTATTACTGAAACTGGCCTGGAGCACAAACATCAAAGCGCTTTGGTTTTTCACCTGGTGTAAATTTGGGTCATAATAGTCAAGTGTGGATGAGGCGGCACTGAATGACCAATAAGTTTCTTCACTTCACACACACACACACACACACGACACACGCACATGATGGGCACATATGTAAATGGCGTAGGCGTAAGATCTGGCGGTTTATATATAAATGACTTGGTGTGGCGTTTGGCTTTGGGTGTGTGTGCAAGCGCAGTTTTTAAGCACGATGGCGTCCTGAAGGATCGTGCATGGGCTTCATGCAACATGACTTGTGCGTGATAGTTATGAATTCATGCACTATTTTCCTGCTAGCACAAAAAAGGTAGTTACGATCTAACCTTGACATGAGACAGCGGCGTTCTTTCTGCTCCATGTCAGCGGTTCCTTTGTTTTTCCGAGAGATGGTAGTTACATCCTCGTGATATGTTCCAGAACCTATTTCATTAGGCGAGTCAAGGACGGATTCCGTGAGGGAAGGACGTTAGAAGACCCAAAGAAGATTGCAACTGAGCTTGAGAAGGCCAAAAGCACGCTTGAGGGTCTCAAACGACAGGTAAGTCTGAACTCCAATCGAAGTTTTGTATCCATTTAAGCGGTGCTGCAGAATCAGGGCCTAACAAATGACATTGTGAGTGACACATTTGCATTTCCTTTACGTTATCAGCAAGAACCATTTTGCGTTGCCCGGATTGCTGTAAAGCAAATGCGTGCGGTTTCCGTAAAAGGCACATGCATCGGCGCATGTACAGATGCGAAGTGTCGGAAGGACCGGTTTGCCGGCATGCTCTTTCTTAGCCACACTGGACGAGCTATGGCAGCATGGATACATGTCCCTTGACGCGATAGTGACTGACCTGTGGCGCGGCGTGCCGAGACCGTAACTGTATGGGCCCTCCGTCGAGAGGGCCGAGACCGTCCCTGAGGCGCGCTGTCTCCCCAGGTGGTGATCCAGAACATGTTCGAGCCCGGCCGGCTGGTGATCGAGAAGTAGCCGGTCGACAGCGGGGCGCGGCGATGTCGGAGCAGGCGACCGCCGAGCCGCCGAGCCAGACCCAGACGGTGACGGCGCCGGCCGAGCCGCCGGCCGACACCGAGCCCACGCTCCACCTGCGCCTCGTGCGGCCGCACAACCCCCGCCGGGTCAGTACGGACGCCGCTGCCCGGCCACTCAGGCCTGGGCCGGTGGGCCGCATGGGCTGGTAGCTGGTCCTGCCGCTCGCCTCGTCGTCTAAAGAGTCAGCTGGGCATGCGCTAGTGCCGTCCGTTTGATCATCGCGCGTCTGGCTCCTTCAGTGTATGCCTCTTTTGCTAGAGGAACTGATTGTGGAAGGGTAGGGAGGTTGCGTGTGACCTTTCATGCTAAACGCATGTAATTTAGGCCAGGTTTGGTTTTTGAGAGCTGCGGGGATGGTGCTAGACCTGCAAACTTCAGACATTTTTTCTCCGTTAACTGCTTGGCTCCCAAATTCGCCAAATTCGACGATTGCGTATTTTTCCGAGCGTC